AGCAATATTTGTGAAATCCTGCAGGTAACATAGGTTGTAAGAACACATACCTAGAAAATGCTTTATTTCAGTGGAGTTCTGTGGGCAAGAAGCCTCGGTGATGGCACGTGCGTGGTCAAAACTCGGCTTCGTACCGTCATTTGTAATAATGTGTCCCAGGAACTCGATCTTACTAGCATTAAATTTGCATTTCTCGAGCTTTAATCTGAGGTTAAGATGGTGTAGTCGACGTAACACAGCGTGCAGTCGTGAATCATGTTCTTCTGGAGTCCTGCCGAATACGCAGATGTCGTTCATGTATACTATTTGACCAGGTAAATTGGCAAATGAGTGAACCATAAACTTTTGCCAAGCTGCTGGAGCTGAACTCAAGCCCGTTGGCAAGACTTTGTACTGAAAGAGTCCGTCCATAGTGAGAAATGCGGTCAGCAGTCTTGACTCCTTAATTCGAGGCATGTGAACGAAAGCCTTCCTGAGGTCCAATTTTGAAAAGTATCGGGCGCCAGCTAGTTTAACTATTAGTTCATCCGCGGTTTTAAGCACAAATTTTCTACCACGAGTTGCCCATTTAAGGCCTGCAGGCCATTGCATATTCTTACTGTACCGTCCTTCTTGAGGACTGTAACCAAAGAGTAGACCCATTCAGAATAGTTAATGGGTTCAATGAGATCATCTTCAATCATCTGCCGTAATGCTGACGAAACAGCCTCTCTCCTGGCCAAAGGAATTTGACGTGGATGAGCAATGGCTACCGATTTAGCATCCTGCTTCAGACATATGCGGTGAACGGAGGACGGAGCACGCCCTATTGTTTGTTCAAATAATTTCGGGTACTGTATCTGTAGGTCTGATAGGCTAATTGCCATGATACGCATACGAGCTAGGGACGGCGTGACTCCCAGTGCAACCATAGCGCTGCGTCCGAGTAAGAGACGGTTATTTCCGTGGGTAACGTAAACAGCAACTGATGATTTCACGGCCCCAATTTGCAACACAATCACCACAAATCCTCGTATTTCTACCGGGGCCTTTGTATAACTGTCAAATCGATAGGCTGAAAAATGTATACGCATGTCATGTAGGTGAAAGCCATAAAAACTACTCGGTACTATAGTGATAGGAGAGGCTGAATCAAGTTCCATGTCACCACGTGTTATTCTATCGTGTGCAAAAACTGTAACAGTACGAATGTCAAGCATAGGTAGTTTAGGCTCTGGACAATTGAAACGACAGTTAGACACAGTACTTGTGTTATCAATGGAAAGTACATTTTCAGAGGACTGTAACTGTTGATTAGAACCGGTATCTGTAGAATTCAACTGAGAAATGCGTGCCGAAAGACAACCACGAGCAAAATGTCCACGCGTACCGCACATTTTACAACGCATTTCTAAGGTAGGACACTTAATAAAATTGGCTTTATGCTGTAGGCTGCCGCAGCGGAAGCATTTCGGTGGGGATTGGAATTCGGTTGGCGAGCGATGAATCTTGGCAACCTCCTGTAGGTCTGCGTGTGTGGTGAAACCTCGCAACTGTTCGGCCGTACATGCTTTGAGGCGAGGTAATTCCACGGCCTTATATTAAGTCAATTTGGAAGCGTCTTCGGAAAGTAGGCATCCCCGAATTCGGTTGTTGGTGATACCACTAATCAACTGCTGCACTAGCATTACGCCCTCGATTCTATTTTCCGGTATGATTGGATACTCGCAGTGTCGTACACCGCGAATGAGGCGACCAATGAAACTGTCTAGAGTTTCCGATGTTTCCTAAGTAAGTCGGTCGAATTCGAGGCGAGCCATGAAGAGATTTGTACGCTGTCCCCATGACTTGTCCAGCCGCTCTAGCGCTTTTGTTAAGGTATCTTGTGACCGCAGCTCCAAAGCATCAAATTGACGTTGTCTCTCATCACCGAGTAGGTGTCTTAGTAGCTTCAGTTTCTGGCCTTCAGTGTAGTTGGCAGCCGCAGGTAGTAGGTCAAGACAGTTTGTAAACGAGGTTTTCCACTGGGCCCATGTAATTTCTTTAAGACGTAAGGTCGGATCAGACCAGTAAACTGTAAGAGGATGTAATTCCATAACGTAGGTTTGTAAGCCGCGACGCCAGTGTTGTATACGTACGGTCAAACGCACGAGCAAGTTAAAAGGTCATGCTGATAAACGCACTGCTATAATCTGATCAATGTCCAACTGGGTGAGTACACTATGGTGTTGCAAGGAGAATGATAAACAAATAAGGAAGCAGAGCATTGGAAGCTTTTTGTGTGTGCGTGTGTGTGTCTGGGGTTGTGTGCAACTGTTTGTGTAGACTAGGCCAAGGATACTGACAGAATACACAACAGAGTGCTCACTCGAAAATAGCTTCACAAACAAATTGGCAGTTAAGATGCCAAAAGAGCGGCGGATAAACCACATCATACGAAACCCTCGACAAGCAGCCTTCTTCCAGTTGTCTCCAGAATGAAGTGCTGATACGTGTACGACTCCTAAATCAATCTGCTGAGTGACAACAGGGAGTTCACCACCGCCGACAACATATCGGGTAGGAAGATTTGCAGCTCCGATTCGGCGAACAGAGCACTTGGCCCTATTTGTGGGCATCAACCGTAAGGTAGAGCATTCCCAGATCCTATTCAAGGCATGCTGAATTGCCTCAGGACCCCCCGGCATATCCACAATATTCCAGAGCTTAAAGTCGTCAGCAAATATAAGTTATGACACCCCTAGCTCTCCCGACAAGTGATTTACATAGATCGCGAACAACCGTGGCCCCAATACCGAGCCCTGATGGACGCCACTAAGGACAGCTTGCCTGAGCAAAATTCTACTCCCCACCCTAACGCACTGTTCGCTCTCCTCAAGGAAGACCGACACCCATTGAAAGGCGCGACCAGATATACCGTAAGCTCTCAACTTTAGTGAGAGCCGAAGATGTGGAACAGTGTCAAATGCTTTCGAAAAATCTACGGATAGCACGTCCACAGCGTGGCCACTGTCTACCGCTTAGGCCCAACTTTTACGAGCTAATAGTAGATTAGTCTGGCATGAAAGCCGAGGGATCTCCGCGTGCGGCTCAATTTGGTTTTTTCAATTCGCATGGTGAATGATTGGAAACGGTTGCCGGATCGTGTTATTTATGTTGACAGGAACGTTTCGAACAACTGTTAGATTGTCACCTGAGCGCGCTGGAATTCTGCTGCCTCTAAGACAGCTACAGTGGTTCTCTGCGGTACCCTCTGCCGCAATGACCTACGACTTCTCCGCATTGTTCTGGAAGTGAAGGAGCTAACAACGGAGCTTCCATCTGCTCTCTGTCATCCAAAGATGAACCTCTAATGTCTTCCTCTGATGAGTCAAAAGCGGCTTCCAGCAATTCTGCCTGCCCGAGGCCTGTTACGAATTCATCTGGAGGTATGCAGTGTGTCCTTTGCACCAGCTGGTATCACAAAGGTTGTACCGGCATCCGAGCGAACCAGTACAATATGCTACCATCCAGTGAACACCTTCTGTTTAGATGTTCTGATAGTTGAGCTCAGAAGGCGAAGCTCCCGGGTTTCACCTGTGCTGATTTCAAAGTATAGCGCAATGATCGTGCTCTATATATCCGGTACGCGACTAGACGGCCAACCAAATGCAGTGGGCAGAAGACACAAAAGTAAGCTAGGGAAGAAGTTCATGGGACGGGAGGAGCGTTAGCGCATGCTAAAAATAGGGCACCCGGAGAGAGCTAGCTAGGGAGAACGTCGTTGGTGTCGAGAGCGTAGACGAAGCGTCGTTCGCAGTCCAGCCGCGCGCCATAGGCGGAGATCGTTTTTGTTTTTCCAACAAACGGGAACAACGTTCCAACAGGCAAACCGAATAGTTCCCTAATACATAAGAAAGCTATACTTTGAATATTTTAGAATAGTTTACACAGTCATACGGGGGAATCTCCAGGTCGCTACACAGCCCCCTCCAAGAAGGGAAACCCTTCGATCTACGTGAGGACTGTCCGTCGCGGGCCAGCCTTCTGCGAGACCAGGTAGTGAAACCTGATGCAGCTGCTGGGGGAGAACCAGGCGAACGGATCCTAGCAGGCTCTCTCCCGGGTCCTCCCTATCGGTGCCAGAAAAGGCGAAAATGGGTGGTAAAGTCCTTAACCGCCAGCTATAAACCTGAATCCATGGTTAAGGACTTTTGCGACCATTTTGATGGCGAAATTTGTCCTTCCACTGCAGCTGTATTAAGTACACAGTGAAGGACTTTGCACCCTGTCCAATCAGAAACCTAGGTTAAACAGTGAATGACAGACAGACTGGAGGAGTATGAATGGTCATTGACGGTTGAGCTTGGACGGCGTGGACCAATGGCCGTGCACGCACCACGATGCTACGCACGCACCTAGCCGGTACCCCTGTACGCCGCACCTAGCCGGTACCCCTGTACGCCGCACCTAGCCGCAACCCCTATACGCCGCACCTACCTGCAAACCCCTGTACGCCGCACCTAGCTGCAGCCCCTGTACACTACACGTATTGGCTACCCACCCAATCTCGCACACCGCTGGAAGGGGGATCTCAAATCCCCACCTGCGTTTCCCGTTAATAATATGTAACGCAGGTATTACTACCGCTTACTAATGCAAAGTAAATGTGCGAGTCATAGCTAATCGCCCATATGACCTCTTTTCTCCTGCGGCGTAGCATCCTGTTGCTACTGAATGGAGGAAACCATGTTTAACACGGCGCACAGGGTCCAGTCCCACCACTCATAGTGATACCATAGTATTTCATTCCCAATAAGCACAAAGATAGCGGGAATGGAATCCGATTTTTTCACAGTAAGAAGTCTGTTTACCGACGCATAGTAGTGGATACATTAAATGGAAGGACATCAATATTGACAACAGAGGTCCATGTTCCGTTTGAATCGGTTACGCTTCTTCCATGCTGTCTCATGGGCGCTCCAAGTCCACGAATTGGAAAACCTTATTTAAGAAATGTTAATAAGTAATCCATTTCATACCTGCTGGCTGCTTGCACAACCTTTGGTAGTGTCGCGCCATGCGTTGCCACGAATCGATTTCAAGTATTTCCTGACATCATCATCAGGTGACACAATACTTCCGGAGAAACGTTTTAATAGAGCAGCTACGACGGGGATGAAAGGACAAAGATGTTGCTTACCTTGCACTCCGGTGAATAGCTTCATCTTCCGGAATCCGTGTTTGTTGCGGAGACAGGAGTAATTGATCTCCGCCATCTATGACCGCGTTAGAAGACGCTGCATCATGAGGCGTACAGTCACCGACAACGTGTCTCCATGCACACCTTTCAGTTTAGACTGCATGCATATGTGAGGTATCAAGGAATCTTACCAATTGTTGAATGCATCCTGCATTAGTTTAACAAATGACTGTAGTTCCTCCACCGATGTAATTTGTGAAGGAAGCGGCGTTGCCTGCTGCCCTGTTTGCCCGGCAATGGTTGTAGCCATCGATCTCATGTAACTCTTCACATACTCCAGTGTCTTCATATGTATGTATTCTCAAGTCTATTAGGTAGACACTGAACATTACCTGAAAATGTATACCGTTTTAGGAATGTAGGAAATTACCATCTATGAACTCGGTTATTCTTCATTTGGTTCATATCGCCTGCAAGAAAATGGTAAAACCTCAAGTACATGCTTACGGTGAATGCCATTCCAATCGCTTGTAGGAACGGTGATGAAGGAGTCAGGTAGACTCTAGGACTAGGACACTCAAGCTACAAAGTGTAAGCACCAATCGGAATCCGTTTTCCGAATCTGTTCTTTCGAATTGTTATCACAGTGAGATGCAGTATTGTACGCTGAAGTTTAATATTAAGAAAAATGTATCCCTTACCTGTATAAGCTGGTTTGTATCTGCCCATGTTGTATTGTTGGGAAGACGACTGACGTGGGTTTTACCCATGGAGCGGGCCAACTCAGTTAAAGAAAAGATAGCTGGAGAGCCATAGAGAACTGTTGTGGGGACCATGCGCTTCCTGGAGTGGCTCAAAGTCATCGACAGTCTGCAGACTTCGGTGTACCTGTATGTTATTGATGCACAAACGCCCTGTTTTTTTATATGAGGTAATCAGCAATAACTTAGGGAGATTATAAATTACCGGTATGTGGTAATGGTTCACATTTTTTAGGCGTTAGGATCTCATTTTCCGTAACCTCCACAGGACAATCTCTCTTTGATCAATTTGTCCGAGGCATGTTTTCGCGCGCAAATACCGATCCCGCGCGGGCAATTGTCGGTTTGTACACCGAGGTCTCATTAATAATGCTGAAAATCAAAGGTTATGTTGAAAATGGCGACGTACATACAAAAAGAGCTTGATTAATAGAAACACCGAAACGTCGTGCAATATCGTCGCCGATATTACTAAGCGAATGTGCCCCGCAAAATAGAAAAGAAGCTCACAAGGAAGTTATCTACGTAGAGTACAAGTAATTGCGCAAGTGGAGATAACAATGTGCAAACTGTGCGTTGGGCGATAGCAGCTAGGGCAAACCAAGGACAAAGCTTGAGAAATGAAATAAAGCTGAAAAGTTCATTTTTGCAATACTGCAATGAAAAAACATATATAGTGCTTCTTATATCTAACTCACGTCGAAATGGCTTACTACCAACGCAAACTATTTCTCCGCTATCGAAAATGCACAACGAAAAATAGAAGTCTACTACGGCGAAGCGGAATTTACAGCCAAACGGAGCAGTGCCAGAAGAAGCGGAAAATTTAAAGGCGCGGCAAAATTCAAAAGGTGGGTCGATGACTCTTTTTAAGAAATTGTATAGGATTTTTTGACAGAATGACGCAATTAACCAATGTTATGCTTATACTTTAGTTAACGTAACCTACACATATATGTGCACCCCTTGCTGGAATACGGAGTAGATCAAGTAGCCGCCCATATATTACTGAAGGACTTTGACGACCGAAAAAAGGACTTCATGTGCTAGCAGGGGAATAAGCAGCAAAAATGGAGTAAAAAGGTGGGGTAAAACGTTGAACACGCGACGCTAACAGACGACTTTGGGAAAACGGCTTGGACAAAGGTCAAAAAACAGCAAAAAGTATTTAACAGTTGACATGTGTTACTTTAATGTAAGAAAAAAGGGAACTAGAACGCAGCGATATGCAGTTAAAAGTACTGCGGGACAATACGGCCGCCAGGTAGTCGCTGACCTAGCAGGGTACTTTAAAGATGGTGACGTTTATTGTTTGGTCGGATGGGAGTGAAACAATTGACCTCTAGACTCTAACATTCTAATCTAATGTAACCTTAAAACCGTGTTTTAGTGTACTAAATAGCTATCAACCGTTTGCCGCCGATTCGAATGCTTAGCAATACTGTTAACCAAATGCTGTAAATTTCGTAAATTAATTAGACAAAGAAATTTCCACACTCTTATGTCAACTATTGCACAGTGAACGCATTGTAATGCTAAAAGTCAAAATTAAGTCCCCTGTTTTCATGGGCGCTGTATTTAACCAATTCGCAGTCTTGGAAGTCCGTTAAAAGCATTGGTTTCCGCAACGTATACCGTAAAAGATTTCTTTTTTGACAAGCTTGTTGGCACGAGCATCCGTTAGTAGTCCGTGGGTTATCTTTTATGCGTTTTCTCGGCGTCTTGTCTAGATGTTGTTAGACGCAAAACAGAACACAGACGAGATGTGCAGCAAAACAGTTTTGAAATGAATGCAAACTAGTGCCCAGTCAATCAGCTGTGCACCTTGTGTTGCTGAAGCGTCAATATTCAACTCGCGTTCCCTTGTATCTACGTATCGATGGTGAAAAATCCAAGTGTGTAATGCATGCAGCTATATTTGCCTTAAACATGCGTAACACTAATGCAATATTGGTAAATAAATTAGAAAGTATTCACTACAAGTTATAAAATATAAGTGTACTATTTCTGAGCCCATTTATTAAAAATACTTGCCGTGTACTGATACTCTCGTCGTGGACTACTTATTTAGTCTCCTATTGTGCCGATATGTCTAGCCTCGAAATTTTAATGTGAAACGCATTATTAATATAATGAAAGATGTAACACAATTCTGTAATCGATTACCGCTTAACGTTGACGGAATATGCATCCCTTCAGCGAGAGCAGCGAAAACGTGTGCCGTCGTGTGTTTTAACGCCCGAAATGACCAGACGTTTGGCCCTCAGCAGTCTAAATGTACACCTTATGGACGACATTTTGGTCACCCGAAATATTTCCCAAAGCACCATGAAATTCAGAAGCGAAAGTTTCATGGTTAAACTATCGTAAACATGAAACGGAAAACTACCTACTAATTGCAATTACGCAATGCAGTACCCGTAAAGCAAAACCCTAAATGATTGTGAATGACCAAACCTCTTCCAAACGAAAATACATTAGGATGACTTTTAGTCAAACAGTTTGCTTTATCTGATGCTTTCTCACCATATATCATTAGTGCGCTGCTGACGGAGCCTTTATACTACAAGCACAATCCTCGGAGTCAAATGATATTACAACGCACTTGGGTCCAATTACCTCGGCAATAAATGTGCCACTGATGGAGCCTATATACAACGAGCACGAGCCTTGGAGCCGTGTGCTATTACAACCCACTTGGGTCCTATTACATGGGCACCAAATGTGTCACTGATGGAGCCGCTATCTTAAGACCACAATCGTTGGAGCCCTGTGCTATTACAACCCACTTGGGTCGTATTACATTGGCACAATATGTGCCACTGATGGAGCCTATGTACAACGAGCACCAGCCTTGTAGCCGTGTGCTATTACAACCCACTTGGGTCGTATTACATTGGCACCATATGTGCCACTGAAGGAGCCTATATACAACGACCACGAGACGGAGCAGTGTGCTATTACAACCCACTTGGGTCTTATTACATTGGCACTAAGTGTGCCACCGATGGAGCCGCTCTCCTAAGACCACAAGCCCTGGAGCCGTGTGCTATAACAACCCACTTGGGTCCTATTACATTGGCACCATATGTGCCACCGATGGAACCTATATACAACGAGCGCGAGCCTTGGAGACGTGTGCTATTACAACCCACCTGGGTGCTATTACGTTTACACCAAATGTGCCACTGATGGAGCCTATATACAACGAACGCGAGCCTTAGAGCCGTGTGCTATGTCAACCCAACTGGGTCCTAGTATACTGGCAGCCAAGGTGCCGCTAGTCCAGTTAATTGCTAAAAATGCTTTAATCCCAATGGAGCTCAGAAACCGCAATAACAACGGTGCCTTGTATTTAACAGAAAGCAGCGAGAAAAGGTTCAGCGTTGTTCAGTATTTTCGTGCCTTGGACGCGGATGTCTCATGCAGGGTATCATAACACAAAGTCGTATTCATCGCCTGAAATATAATAGTAGTGTGAACGTATAGCCTACTGTCGGATAATTGAATGAGAGTTTTTATCTGAACAATCTTTTGCCTTCTCAGCGTTTTCTTTACTGGGCTAGCATCCATGTCGACGCTACAATAAAGTGAGAATGGGAGTTTAAATTGCACAGAATAATTTAATTTGGCACCCCATTCTGCATAATACCTCTGGTTGAGGGGAACCCGACGGATCAAATTCGACAACCTATCGATGAAAGATAAGGAAAAAAAACACCAGCCGGTGCAATATGATGGGTTACGGTTTGTTGACTTGTACTCGGATCGGCGGTAATCTCATCACTGAAGGAACTCATCGTCTGTGAGACGGCGATTGGTGAGGTGTCGGTCAAAACGAAAGCGGTTAACTGGGTGATCGTGAGACAGATCGAAGGTTGTGACTTCCAGCTTGCGTCCCGTTCTAATAAGGTTAACGCAAGCTTTGCAGTTAGTATCATGTTAGCTGAAAGATTTAGAATAATAGAAACAAAATCCTACTAAACACGTCTCCTTCCTGTAATTGTTGACTTGCGACGTGCGCAGCGGACACATCGATAAATGATCCTGTCGTACTTCACCCGCGACACGTTACACTTTCTGCTGCTGTAGCATACGAAATTGACGTAATGAAGAAGCATAAAGTCTGAAAACAAACTATTATACTCAGTAAAACTGTCAAAAGAACGCCCAAGGAAGCTTCTCCGGAAACCAGACTCCATGGCGTACGGATTCAAAAATACTGTTCGTGACGCGTATCTGGTTTCCGACACATTCAAACAAGTGCAATATCACATTTGCACAGATTCAAATAAAACTGCAAAGGCAGAAAGAT